TTAATTTTATAAGTTGGAAGATTTCAGTATGAGCTGACATCAGCTCAAACAATCAAACAAAATCCCTACAAAACCAATACTTGAAAATTAATCTAATGCTCACTAGTGACTGGCCCTATTCAGGCAGTTAACCTGGGGTTCTAGTGGGAAGCCGTGACCAGTAGGGTACAGCAGGTTGAAGATGAGGCAGTAACTCATCGAAGAAGACATTGGGAAATGGTCGCTCTATGTCGTGAATTGGCAGAAGTTAGAATTCAAGGACCATTGGATTGGGTCCCAGTGGCTCAATAGTCTACGAGATCACTTTGTAACCAGGTGGTCCTGGGTTCGAATCCCGGTGGGCGCGTACTGTGAAGAGTCCCAAACTAGGACGAAGCAGCTGTCCAGTACTCCATGCTGGTTTCGCAATGGTTCTCTATGTGATGTTAGCTCATGATGAAATCCTCCAACCAATCAAACAAAATCCCTACATTTATAGCGGTGGTATGAGATTTAGGCTTATGGACGTCAAAAGGCTTTTCAGTAAATAACAGTTTTGTAATTCCCAACCAAGGTCAACAATAATTACAAATTAAACATTCATGATTACCGAAACCCCTGGAATGTTAAGTAATTTTAGACAGCCACAGCTCTACGGAAGAATTGTATTCCTTTTTGTATTCACTACTAAAAACAGAAGCTCGAAACTAGAAACCATCGTTTCAAACGCGAAAACATTGTCCAATAGATCACTTGGGTCATAAAAGCCACTTCTAGTGCAGAGGGGGTTTCAGCATCGCCCGAATTGCTTCATGTTAATCCTCAGACATCTTTGAAGTATCCTCACTGGGAACTGACATATCAACAGAGGCCTAACATTTTACTGCAATCATCCAGTGAAAAATCAAAATTGAATTGAGGATAATGACATATGTATTTGTAAAAACACATTAGAATTATATGATACAAGCAGTAACATGTTTGTTAACAAGAGAATATCATTTTTTCGAAATATGAGAAGAGAGAGAAGCTATTACAGAAGTCAAGAAGACAACTATAAAGTAAGACTATCTTTGCATAATTATACAGTCAACCTCTGGTAGTTATTATGCAATCGGTAGTTCATAAGATTATGTCAGTCAAGAAGAATAAGTAAAAATGAATTTATGGAGTCTTAATAAAGACTCGAAGTGCGTCGGTGGCATAGCGGTTAGGACGTCGCCGACCATGACATGGTCTGGGGCTCGATCTCCGACCGACGCACTCCTGTACCTCGCTAAGCCAGAAATAATTGTGAAGAGAAAGTGCATGAGTACAACCCATCCTTAAATATACACTGCTACAGAAACTTCAAGCCATACTTGAAGCCCTATATTCACTGGGAAGTGAAGGAAAAAAAATAAAGACTCGAGAAAACCGGGTCATGAAGTGGTCAAAGTAAACTTACTACTACTACTAATAATATTATATTGTAAGATACATGGTGAAGGGGGGATAGTTTCTCGTCTTACGTAGGTAGTCACGATAAATAAATAAAAAAAAAAAACACATGGGCTATGTCAACTTCTTTTAAGCATACAGGTTTCCCATGCTCAGGCTAGTTCCAACCGAATCTGCTGCTGTATGTTGATTTAGGCCTCGTGGAGCATGACTGGGATGATATGGAATGCTATAGGTCCCCTATCAACAAGGTGAAATAGTATAGGGCTGTATTCAAACATACTGGATGGAGTTCGAAAATTCAACAATCAACTCAGCTATTTGAAAGTCGGATGTCATTAGCTCTGCAGGGGCAGCTAAATTGGCGAATGTACATAAGGTAGGTGAATTTGTACATTTTTCTTTCACTCAGAAATACAGTATGGTTCGTCTAAAACAGAAATTAGATGCATTCAAAGTTGTCTGATACTTGACATTTTGTGATATTATTCAGCTCTTACCACTGCCCATAAAATGTTGCCTCAAGAAAACTGTTCTTTAAGTAGTCTTAAACACATGAGTCTAAGTACTGGTTGAATTAGAAAGCTTTTTTCTGAATTTTACAGTATTTTTCTGTCTGATGAGCAGAACGTGAATACTTTTCAGTTCCTTGACAAAAGCAACTGAAAAAGTAACTCTGGCATTCTTATCTGAACACCTTATCAGACTGCAATTATATTACAAAGTGAGGAAACTGAAAAAGTGAGTATACCGACCACCTGTTATAATTTGTCTACCTGCACTGTTGTTTATGGTATCATCTAGTTTTCCTATCATCATTATTATCATTATTGTTCCCTTGGGTTCCTAGTGGAACATAGGGCTTCAACTGCACGTCTCCACTTGCTTCTGTCTTCTGCTGTACTTTTCACCTGCATCCATGTTAGTCCATACTGTTCCAACTCCTCTTCACACGATCTCCTCCATGTCACCCTTGCACTGACGTCCCACTCGCCGCTTCCCTTTCGGGTTCCACTCGAGCACTGGCCTGACGCGCGATGTCACCCAGCGGCCTCCTCAGCGAGTGTCCAATCCATCTCCACTTTCTCCTGCATATTTGTTGGGCGATTGGTTCTTGTTTTGCTTGTTCCCATAGTTTCTTGTTGTTGATAAAGGTCTGTAACAGGCTGTTGGAAATATTCTTTGTGACCCGCCAAGTTTCTGATCCACACGTATAGAAGAACTGACTGACTTGAAGTTTGTATTGAAAATCCGAATCATTTTGTTGTTGATGCAGGCTGAGTGACAGCGGAAGATTTCCAGATTGGTTTCAGGTTGATGAATGTGTTTCTCGCCTTCCCGATTCTCGATTTGACATCCTCGTCTGTTCCTCCTGTAGTTGAGACAATGCTCCCCAGATAAGTGAAAGAAGTAACCTCTTTCAAATCACTCCCGTTGATGGTGATTGGCGCTGGATGTTGCTGCTGTTGTTGTTGTTGGTTGGTTATTTTCATGACCTCCGTCTTGTCTATGTTCACCTGGAGTCCTGTTTTTGCTGCTTCTTCGACCAGTTTGTCGGTTTTCGCTTGTAAGTCTTCGATTTTGTGTGACATCAAACATAAATCATCCACACGCGAAATCCAGGTCTTCTCGGTTCTTCACGTCGGTCCAGGATATCCTTGTCTTCTCGTTTCCCACTGTCTGACGCATAATCCAGTCCAAAATGAGATAGACTGATCATTGTTCTTCAGATAAATATTTGAATGTTTTAAAAATTATCACACTCATCCCGTAACACATACTTCCTCTGTCTTCGTCTAGTTCGTCATCCGTGATATCTTGTAACCTGAAGCTTTCTTAATTCTACTTACTATTCCCAAAATGATCAATGTGAAGTAGAAAAGCAGCTAGTTTGTTTTTCAGTGCAATTTATATTATGTTCCAGTATTGTAACGATCAAGGATGTCAGCTCATGATAAAATCCTCCATGCAATCAAACAAAACCAATACTTGAAAATTAATCTGATGCTCACTGGTGACTGGCGTTATTCAGGCAGTTAACATGGGGTTCTAGTGGGAAGCCGTGACCAGTAGGGTACAGCAGGTTGAAGATGAGGCAGTAACTCATCGAAGAAGACATTGCGAAATGGTCGCGCTATGTCGTGAATTGGCAGAAGTTAGAATTCATGAACTGGCCATTGGATTGGGTCCCAGTGGCTCAATAGTCTACGAGATCACCTTGTAACCAGAAGGTCCTGGGTTCGAATCCCGGTGGGCGCGTACTGTGAAGAGTCCCAAACTAGGATGATACAGCTGTCCAGTACTCCCTGGTTTTCCAGTGGTTCTCTAACTGGTGTCAGCTCATGATAAAATCTTCCATGCGATCAAGGATTATTTGTTCAATTGATCCAACTATCTAATTCATCATCTTAAAGAGATTCCATCACAAACTCGGACTCACTCTTAGCCTTATATAAAACTTAAAGATGTGAGAGATTCAGACCCTTCACCTTATTTCATTTGGGTTTTCAAAACAAACTGACTTTCTTTTTATTATTTGATGGTGAAACTGTTTTCTGCGGAGCTTGTATTTAGTTATCATTTCAGATTGGACGCTCATTTCACTACACTCATCTTTCCGCTAAACTTAGTGTTACCACTAACATGATTTATCTGTATTATGAAACTTACTGCTAACACAGATGGATCAGTAATGCCTTCAGTCAAATTTTGATGCTAATTCGTAATTGATGATTAGTATTGGGATCCAGGATACATGTCTCCTCCGTGAGACCAGCATCGCCTGCTGGTATGCACATTTGTCTGACTGACTGATGAGTGCCACGTCTAACAAAACGCGTCTTAGATTCAGTCTACAGTCTGTCTGTCTGTCTGTCTGTTTTCGACACAGAACTTTGCACCGATGTGTGGCAGTTCAAGTCGCCATACTTCACTCAGCACACAAAGCAAGAGAAGAAAGTAGGAGAAATGCATAATATAGACAGTAAACAGAGGTGAAAGACAAAGGAATAGTAGTGACGAAGATCAATATAGTTTCATTGGAAATCATAAGTCACAAGGAGTGGATGCATCTGCACCATCACTGAGAACGATTTTGAGCCATGTCACCAATTGTTTCCAAACATTGGTTTTTACCATCCCGAGGGCCCCAACCAGGAAGTCTACACCTTCCTACGTGGCTGGCTTAGACTAACTGTTGTAGATTTCATTGACTGGTGACATGTTTTCGTCTGACCGCCGCTAGCTCTTTTCCAGCCTGGCCATATATCAGCTAACATTGCCCGTCGAAGAAGGCGATGACCAGGCATACGTAACACATGTCCTAACCATCTCAGTCGATGTAATTTCACAGTCTCGTCGACTGATTTCCCCTCCTTACCTAGCACTCGACCGAAGCCTAACCTCAATATTGCTTACCTTATTATACCACTTCACACGGGAGATAGAACGCAGACACCTATGATCGAAGACAGCTAATCTTTTCATGTCTTCCGCTCTCAGTGGCCAGGTCTCACAGCCTGGCCTCTCTCACCTGTGTTTTATTAGTGCAAGTTTCAAAAAAAGTAAAAAAAAAGCAGAAATAAACAACTACATGTCAACATTTTATTCATCAAATTTAAACACTAAATAACCTGCAAAGAATTGAACATTGATTAAATATATTGTCAACAATCATTGAAATACTGTTTGCACATTCATTCATTCATTCAGTCTTTTTACAGTTTTCCAATCGTTTCAAAGTTTCACTGTAAGCTATAGGCATCAGTGCTTCACCAAATTTTGCCATTAATTGTGGAAAGTAGTATATAAATGGACTGATTGCTATTGGATTGGACAGTAAGGCGTTTAACGTCAACACACCAAATGGTAACCATCCAACGATAGTGATCAACAGAATTGAATTATTCAGCTATTTGTTGTTCAAAGTTCAATTCATGTTTAATTGTTGTTGTGTATGGAAAAACCAAAAAAGAGATTTGAAAAATGGTTTGGACAGTTAATTGAGGGAAAAACTGTGTTTATTAACTAAATCTACAGGGATTCACAGGCATATACACATAAAAACAACAACAACAACGATGTTTGTCTTATTAGGCAGTGTTCAGTGTCCATTCCTGTGCTTTCCGAGTCAAACATGAGGCTTCAGACATGAACTTTCAGTAGCAGTAGTGCATTTTAACAGGGTAGAGTTGCTAACCTCACGCCAAACCCTCCCGCTATATGGATCTTACTACCAGCTTAGAAAGATTTAGGAGTGCGGCCGCTGGGAATAGAACTCGAATTACATGCGTAGTTGGCAAGCATCCTGACACTAAATCACCAACTAACGTTTCAGATAGAAGGTTAGTATATCTCCTGGATGTATGACCTACCCCCAGGGTGAATGGATTTAAACCCTCACAAGATAAGTCACTAAGTTTTTTAAATGATGTATTATATAACATTGAAAATAACATGGTGTTTTATCCGTTAATTCGAGTTTTACGAGGGATTTGGTTTTACTAGAGAATCCTCTAAACAGGAGGACTACGGAATGGTATTATTATTATTATTATTTAAAAGTACTTCTGTTAAGCAGTTGTTCATTTCTGATAGTAATTATTTTCTGATATTAAGGTGTGAAGAAGGAAAATTTCGAATTGGCTGATGTCAACTTGCAGGCAAAGACCGAAGAACTGGTAGAAAAGGCTGGCAGAGAAAACAGGGCTTCAGCTGAACAAAGGCAAGATGGAGGTGTTGGAGGTAACCAGCCAACCAGCAGCAAAAACAACCAGCACCAGTCACTATCAATGGGAGAGACTTGACAGAGGTTACTTCTTTCACTTATCTAGGAAGCACCGTTTCAGCTATAAGTGGAACGGATGAAGATGTCACAGCACAGCCAGCCAGCCAGAATCGGAACGGCAATATACGCCTTCATCAGCCTGAAGGCTGTTTGGAAATCTTGCGCAATAACTAAGCACAAAGAACAAGTATTTAATTGGTGGATGGTGACTATCAGTGGAATCCAGGATGCGCATTTCGTCCTATTTGGGACTCGTCATCTGGATGTACCTGCATTTTTCAATGAGTGATGATGTTCCCACCGAGGCTCGAACCCAGTGCCCATAGTTTCCAACGCCAAAGCGTTATCCACTAGACCACTTGGACCACAAGAGCCACCTCTTGTGCAACGGGTCATATTGATTTCATTGAAGAACAAGATTTGGATTTTCAACACAAATGATAAGTAATTTAATGCTTTTATATGGGCCAGACACATGGCATATCACGAATGCACTTCCAACACGTCACAGCAAACTATTATCAACGGCGCTATACAGTATAACACTGTGAGACTCTATCAAAATGAAATTCACCAATAATGGAATTACACTCTACCACAGTGCCCGTTTTATTCTTATATTATCAACGGCTGCCTTTGCTGGATCTATACTGAAGATCAAATGGCCAGTTGGCGAGAAAGAACTACAAACAAGAAACCTGGGAAGCAAACCAAGCAAGAGTCGATTGCTCAACAAATATGCAAGGGAAAATAAAATGGATTGGGTACATGCTGAGGAGGCCATCGAATGAAATCGCTCGAGTGGAACCTGGAAGGGAAGCGACGAGTGGGTCATCGATGAGAAGGTGACATGGAGAAGATCGTGTGAGGAGTAGATGACAGATTATGGCCAATCGTGGGCCCTGATGAGGAGTACAGTAGAAAATAGAACAAAGTGGAGGTGTATTTTTGAAGCCCTATGTTTCACTTGCAACCCAAGGGAATAATAATAATAACAATAACAACGAATCCAACTTACTTTCGAAATGGGACGTTGAAGTTATTTTTAAAAGCACAGTTGCTTTTCAAGTGCATTGTCTATGGGGAATTTAGATTACCTTGCTGCACTGAGAATAACTCATGCAAAGCTTATTCCACAAGAGAATACATTCAAACGTATTTGAAATCAAATGTAAAGGATAGTTTTGAAAGATGTTTCCTACATTACTAATCACTACGAAATATATTACAAATAACTTTATTCAGAAAGACTAATTTTTTCGCCATTGTCAGAGTTTGACTCCTGGCAGGCGCACTCTTTAGCCTCACCTATTTTACTAGCTTGTAGCAATCCTGGAAAAGAGAGAGGGTTTGGAGTAAGAGTTGCAACTTCAACTCGTAAGCACAAAAACACCAACGCTACGGAAACTCTGAAGCGTAAAGCTTGAAAAACTCTAGCCCCCCCCCCCTCGGAACACAAAGAAACGAAACACATATTGTGGAAATTTATGCCAACAAATCCACTTTATGATATGAAGTAACATACACTATTGAATGGAATTCTGTGGTTCAATTACTTTCAGGTTCTGCATAGGACTACATACTACTGATGATTTAGATGGGTAGTTGCATACTAGTCATGTCAACTAGTAGGGCTGGTGATCTAACCACCAGACAGTCAGTCCCTTCGTTTGGGATCAATCTCACTAGCGGTGTAGCCGGTTCGACTTATCTCAGACAGCCGAACAAGGTCAAACCACCAGGTTTCTGGCTAACAAGCTCTATCGATTAACACGAGTGGTATGTAACTACTCATTTAAGTCAATCAGTAGTATATAATTTGATGCAAATATACTTGCTTTCTTGGTTACCATTTATGACATCAAGTAGGTCACATACTGTGATCTGAATAATTCCGGTTTCCACAAGAAACTGGGGTGAAATTTCACCCCTCGAACTACGTACACTGCAAATTGCTATCCAATTCGCAGATTGTGGATTTCGATTAACTTCCAGGTTCTGTTTCAAGTTTCACCATCTGCTATCACCTCATAGCACTTTCATCAATCTACTAAATTCAGATTTCGTCGTTGTCCGCGGAATTCTAGGTTCAAGTATCCAGAAAGCCTTTTTTCATCTCTACTGAACTCCTAGTGTTGACACTGATCTACACATAGGTTAGAATGTATAGTAAAGTATGTAAATCCCCAAAATATAACATCAACTTTGTTGATGGGCATCATAAGTCCCGAAAAGAAAGTGTTAGAGTTTCATACTGCTTGGCTCAGTTGATTTTCTGTCATATTAAACACTATTATAATAATGGAAGTATGCAGCAGGTCGGGTGTGATGACAAATACTCGCCGAAGACATTGGCTAACATTCGCGCTATGTCGTGAATTGCCAGAAGTTAGAATTCATTGGTCATTGGATATGGGTCTAGTTGCCTAATGGTCTACGACCTCGGCTTATAACCAGAAGGACCTGGGTTCGAACCCCGGTGGGTGCGTACTGCTAAAGAGTCCCAAACTAGGCTGACGAAAAGGCTGTCCAGTACTCCCTGCAGATTTCCCAATTGTTCTCTAACCAATGTCAGCTCATAATTTTATTTATTTTATTTTTTATTTTGATTTACAGCTTGATTCCACACCGTATTTTCAGTACAAGTATGGCATTTTCAGCATGGATATCGGTTGCCCAAATTCAGGCCGACCATAGATATCGGGTGTGCGCCGGCAGGGGATCGAACCCCGGTCGGCGAGAGTCCTAACCACTGTGCCACCGACGCACAGTCCTATTACCAATCAATCAAATCGCTGCAAACCAATACTTGAATGAAAACATAAATAGATTACATAGGAAAGTGTGGATCACCTTTATCAGCATTTTAATTTTGTCATCATTCTTCTCAGTCTTCTTAGGACTACTCATCGACTGTTGCGTCATCATCATATACTGAGACCAGATTGCCATACCCACTGGAAGTGCATAACCAATTATGCATAATGCATACAAATATGCCATATTATGATTTTCATTCAAATTATTCCAATCAAGTAAGCAGGATGTTTGATGGGGTTCCAGTGTATATCTAAAATTGAAGAAGGTTTTAAAATAGCGCAGTCTCAAGTTAACCAACTTGAAGAAAACTACACATATATAAACATGTTGTTTGTTTAGTGATGGCCATTAGATGAGCAAAAGGATGTGAGTTTTACTCTATCCATGACTTATCAGCTGAATATATTTCCATCGCATTGTATGGTGGTCTTATGAATGACTATCTGACCTAGAAGGCGTAATTTGATATTTCAAGTAGTCTCTCAGAAAGTGATGGATGTCACTTAATTAAAACGTGTGAACTTCCTGTTGTTGGTTTTTTGAGAGGTCGAAATGATCAGTCTATCGTAGTCTTATAAGTCCGTCAACAGTAACTGGGTGTAATATTGAAATAAGTATTGCAAATGGAAAAAACAATACATTTAGAAACTATATTTAAGTGTATTTATTTTCTCCCAGTAACTTAAAATCAATTTATCAGCAGTTTATACCAGCTGCTTCTGTCAGTGTTGGTGAACATTGAATGGTTGAATTGTTTATTCTAACTGGTCTCCATTTGGCGGGAGACAACATTGGCAACCGTTGCTTAATCATTATTGTTCATTTTAATAACGATTACCAGCAGACTCTGCACATAGTAACCTGTAATCCTGTTTCCTAATCTGTGGAGCAATAAACAGTCGTATTGTTATTTCCGTTTCCTGATATTCCACGTTGGCTAGTGTGCATAGTATTCGGAATGGTCGGCGTAGTCTTCAGAAATCAGAGATATATTTAGAATCTTTTGCTATCTGGACAACTGACAGCTTTATTGATTAATTTTAATAAGATTTTAAATCACTACCTTCTAGGTTGAAGATGAACCACGATAACGAGTGCCGCTAAACACAACTTGCTACTACTTACATTCAACTTCTTAACAATAATAGAAAGCTCATTGCAATGGTGAATCACCTAGCTCGGTTCGCACATTCCAAACCTGATTGACAGAATCCAGCCAGGATCATTTACAGAAAAGTATAACTATGCTTATTACCAAGTGACCAGAAAACATATCAATCACATAGTACAGCAGAAAAATGATTATTTCACTAGTTGATAAGTTGCACCTCAGTTACTCGAATATCAGACTAAAGGCTGCAGATTGAGCTAAACTCGAATCCTGGTCTCACTGGCCAAAATTGGAGTTCCTAAGCCGATGTATCGCTCACCTTAATGTGGTGTTAATTTTTAAATCTAATTACTAGACTGAATTATGAAATACCATGATCAACTTTGTCTTTACATTAATATTTTAAGAACTTTGAAGAAAGGAATATTAAATGCATTCATAAATTTCGGTGAAAAGACTCGTCAGCTGAATACTCCACAAATATTACTCTTTATACAACTATTTAAGGTTAAATACTTACAAAGACATGAAAATTGTGGCAGCAAATAGGTATCAGTTTGAACAAATGTGCAATCTATAAGCTGTGAGTGATAATGTGAAGTGGGAACGTAACATAAAAGTATGCTACCAAGGTAGATTTAAGCTAACTGCTGTCTCCTTCTCTGTGGATAGATCCGGCTTCTTCAATCTGACTGTGTAAACTTCAACAAAACCAAGAGTTTTTTTTTGTTACTTTGCTTATCAATAACTATAAAGCTTTTAGTCAACATTACCGGATGATTATAGCCCAATAAATGTTGTGTGACTGAGCTCCTTAGGATGCCATCATGAGTACTAGGAAGTCATTTGGGACAGCTTTTAACAACGCTAGTTGAAAAAACATCTTTCTTTACGCGTAATGTAATTGCTTCTACAAATTCATGCAAACTAATATACACTTTCTGATTCGGCGAGGATCGATGTCTTATCTTTCCCGTCTGTCTTCATTACCCCTTTCTCTTTGTTGTGTGTCTATGATGAACATATCAGCTACATAACAGGTTCGTTTAATTGCACAAACAACATTTCACCCTTTAAGTGACATTATCTCTCTTGAAAGCTAACTTTACGTAAACCTGATTTGCCTTTATTGTCTTTTGAGTGCTTATTCATGAACCTTTCAGAATACCTATTTCTCACTGGTGTCTCCCTCAAGAATTTCTCCTCTCAGTGTAGTCCGCTGCTTGAACATATCCTTCTTGCTCTATCGAATCATTTCCTAATCAAACTCCTTCAATAGGGAACCGGGACGACGCTAAGAAATGTATAAATTGTCCAACCCAAGTTAACTTTCTATAGACAGATCTCTCTACAGTTGCATCAGCCCGTTTGGAAAATTATTTAATTGCAATCGAATTAAATTGAAAAAGAAACTATGTAATTGGCACAATCATCGTGTTTTCACTCTCCGTTGGCTGCAACAGAACGCATATCCTAAGTCCGTAGCTGTCGAGTCACCTGACAACTCCAGTAGGTCGAATAAAGCAGCTCAATCTTCAGAAAGAAGACAAAGCAATAAGTCCGACAGGGTGCTTCTACTAAACTCTAATCCTAAACACCATTATTTTGAAAATACGTCTAATCATAAAATTCTAGATACTAACAGTGTGAACAGACATGAAGGTGTGATGTTAGCTGATGCATAGGAAATTCTTATTAATAAATAAAAAATGGATATGTATCAATAATTATTAATACTTGGTCAAAATTCTCGACTGTCCATATCTTCTTATGGAGACGTTAAGAAATGTTTTACAACTGTTTACCCACACACACATACACACTCTGTTTAAAGTGTTCAACAAAGGTAGACCAATATTTGCAAGTCCGAGGTCAAATTTTGATCACAGCTCATAAAATTTTGTTTATTATGCTTGTTGAATGATTCATGATTGGACAAAGCTTTTGAGAACAAGTGATGTTCATTTTATATATAAACCTCTGTTATGTTAATTTCGATTAATTTCCCTGAAGAAGTTCGGACCAGATTGCCGAACGAAACGTTGGAATTACTCATTTCAATCTCGCTGAGATTTTACAAATATAATTTTTTACAAATGTCTACTTCTCACTCGGCGCCCAAATATTTTAGAATTATTCTGTCAAATCTTGACGACAGTTCATTTGAATTTAATTGAATATTTTAGATTTTCCCGTCGATTTATTGGACCGAAGTGCTCGGTTTCAGGTTGACATGTCGACTTCTTGTGCAGATGCTTCTACGATGTCTGGGCATATAATTAGAATTTAATCGATGGATGATGACTAACAGTGGAATCCAGGATGCGCATTTCGTCCTATTTTGGACTCGTCATCTGGCTGTACCTGCTTGTTTTAAATTTACCGCGGGAAAGAAATGTTTTCAATATTTTGAGAGTTAGTCGGCTGGAAATTTCCTGATGAGTACGCCTCAGTATTTCATGTAATCAATAGTTTTCTCACAAATTTAACTTGGTATTGGCAATTTAGGCCATTTCTAATCTTTTCATTTGTAATCAGTTTCAACAGGTGAAATGAATACCACATTAGAAGACTGAGTTTAATACTTTATTATGAGGAATAGCTACAAACAAGGCTAACTACATCCCTGATTATCCGCGCAATCTAATACAAATTCGAAATTTTGTAATAATGTGAAGTTCTTTAACTGACTAATAGAAAACTGGATTAGTTATTGATAACATTTTTGACCGGGCTGCTAAACAGTGAGTTTTCAAAGCAACATGATTTCCTATAAGACCAGTGAGGTATGTAGAATTGTAGTCATAGTGACAAGAAGATACACGGGATATCTAAAGAACCTGAAACATATTGTCACCAAAGTGTAGAACGCTGTACCTTCGTATCAGTAAGCTTTTAGGTGACATTCAGTGTTTAACCGGGGAAATATGATAGGCGCTCTAGAGAGGCAGCTGCAATGCTTACCATACAATGTTCAATCAATCAATCAGTATGGAGTTATTGTCGCTAAATAGGTAAGCAAAGATTATGAACAAATTGTACAGACGTACTTATGGCAAAAACACATCGAACTTACTTGCTATATCCAAAAATTGGCAAAACAGCCCATAATAGTCCGATTCCCCAAATTCCATAAATGACGCAGTTACATCTTTTTGGTGTTAGACATCGAACTGTCGATATGAAGGAAAAGAAACAACAGCGGTTATAGTCTTCAACTGATTCTTTACCTCCAACTGGATAAAATTTTGTTTTGCTAGAGTCACACAGTGTTATACAGTAATATTTACTGATGATGTTTCAAGCTCAGTTTATCGCTCATAATTAAATCAAGGTAATCATCACACAAATTCCTTGCTTCGAGTAAAAATTGATCAGACATACGAATGAGATCAATAAAAGACATGCATGAAACAGAAAGAGAGAAAAAGTATATTCAGAAATAACATTTTTTAAATTATAGCTTGATTCCACACAGTGCTTTTGGTACAAGTATGCAATTTACAGCGTATGATATCAGTCGCTCAAATTTTGCAGGCCGACCATTGATATCAAAAGTGTGTCGGCAGGAGACCGAACCCCGGACTATGTGCATGGTTGGCGAAAGTCCCAACCACTGTGCCATCGACGCACAATAGGTTGCGAAATAAGACTAATATTGTTAGTCAGTAAGATGGGAAATATGATGAGTGTTTTTATAGTAAAAATAAGTAACGTGTTAGAATGTTATAATTTACGTGAATTGAAATATAATTTTAACATTTGTGATTATCCTCCTCTGATTTGACTGGTGGCAATAATATCTTCCATATCTCTGGTATTTGCATTGAGTCATTTCTGTTGCACGTGTCTGGTGTACACTTGATGGACCCGGATTCAGTAATCAACCTCTTTCTCTATCTCCATCTGCGTATATTCCTTTTAGAATTTTAACTCTGTCCCAATATATTGTGTGGTTGTGTGTTAATGCATGTAGAGCAATTGCTGAGTTTTTCCGCTAAATTACTTATCTTCACGGGTCAATCATTCTAACCTCTGCTAAATTCTTCTATTCTGACAATCTAACTACCACCAATCTACTAGTTTGACCTAAGTAGTTGATCTCACTCGCATTCATTGCAAGGCATTTTGTAAATTGTATTACTTTGTTCAATTGGATCCACCGGGTGTTTTAGCCTACAGGGCTTGTCTCTAAGTGAGTTTGTAGGTTTGAATGCCATCCTAATTCCTGCTTTATTTAGAATCCTACTCAGGGTCTCAGATGTCCTCTCCATATATGGTAGAACTGTAGATGCCTTATATTCCCTCTTATTCATGTTATCATTACTAGTTTCACAATTATTTTTATTTTGCTTTTAACCTTCTTTGATACTCCTAATGAATTTTGTAGGATAGTTAGTTGTTTAACACCAACGCCTCTTCTATCTGTTTTACTTCATCGCTTAGGTCTTTTCTTGTACTACTTAGTGATACTGCTCGGTTTGTTAGAAACTTAACTAAGCCTGCATTCACACACAGACAACGGATGAGATAATTAAAGTCTAAATATCTGTTAGCAGAATGCATTGGCTTTTTATAAACACTAGTGTGTAGTTTGCCTTCTTCTGTTCGTTTTATTTTACAATCAAGCATCGCAGCTAATTCTTCTTGTTCATTTTCCGATTCAAATGTGAATTTTAATTCCTTTACTAGTGAGTTTTTATTTGTGAAGAACACAAGTAATTTATAAGAAGCACTCAGCAATCGCACATGTAGCCTATACTGAAGTACATGTTTCAGTTAACATTGTATTTTGCAAATAAACGGCCTGCTGAAATTATATGTAATGAGAAGAAAAACGTTCCATCTACAATTGCCAGTTGACTCTATTTCAGGAGCTCAGTTTTCTTTTAATTATCGTTACTACCGTTGTGCATAATTTTCAAACACTGATGGAGAAGGGAGATTAAGCTTTCGTATAATGTTTTTTGTTAAACACCGCTCAGACGATGTCTCATATGAAAACACGTCAACAAGATGATTGGGTTTAAATTATGATTGTAATGTTATGTTTTGAAAGAACTGTGAAAGATTGTCCAAGAGGGAACGTGGAATTGATGAACTGTAAGTGAAATGTGTCCAAGATAAAGTTAGATTTCATTGAAAAACCGAAACCACTTAGAGAACCATGAAAACCAAGGAAGTACTGCACTGCTATTTTGAAGTGTTCAGAAGTAGGCACCTATGATACCAGCAAGATCGAATCCAGGATGAACATGTTACCATTTAGCCACTGGATTAAAATTAAGTTGCCTATAAATACTAACTTCTGTCTGTCCGTAATGCATAGCACTACAGCTAGTGGACATTACTGGTGCGTGTGTCAGTCTTTGTACCCAACTTGATCACTTTCCCTGATCAGAACTTTTCACTAGAAGTCCATGCAGCTCATCAATTCTGTTTACACTTACCGTGTTTCAAATTTAGTATATCGACTGCAGTGAAAAAACAAATGAAGCAGGATAGATAGATTGATGTCATTCCAAAAAACATCCCATGAAATCCATATAAGTGACAACCAAAATTACCAAAAGGCCACCTAGAATGTGATAATGAAAAATAAAGAAAGAATACAGTAAGATATTTGTAGGGACATGTAAACAAAGAATTATGCTTCTGTTGGTTTATTCTGTTTGTTTCTATGCTTATATCACTCAAACTTAATATTGTAATTTTCAGTTTTCGAAGCCATCTGATGAAACCATGGTCCGACACTCGTATGAAAGTAATTTCATAAGAGAAATCGACTTATGCTTTGGTAGTTTTATGGATAATACCTTCATTCTTCATGAAGATATCTTGAACAGGAACGCAGTAATATGTCAATTCAACGAAGTACACTCAGCTATCAAATTCACATGTGAAGAAGAATCTCCAAGTAAAATTGTCTTTTTAAACGTTCTACTGACAGGAAGACAAGACAGTAGTATAAAAATGAACGTGCATAAGAACAGTACTTGGATCGGTCAATATAGACATTTTCATAGATTTTTCCCTCTCAAGTATAAAAGAAATTCTGTAAAGACCCTCAGATATAGAGTCAGAGTTACTTGTTCAGAAAATGATATTGAAAAAAAACACGTTAGCTGAAGACAGCCGTCTTGAAGAGTTCATCACTGAATACATCACGACGAAAGCAGAAAAGAATTCTTTTTAACAGGTAGCCTCTATAGATACCACTACAAGTCATAGGGTAGGATATCCCCAGTGAAATAATAACCAGCAAGTTGAAAAAATCGATTAAAAGAACGCATAATACCAGAAAGCTGCAGCTTATATTTTCCACACAACCGTTTGTGATTCCGAAAGTGAAAGATGAAGTGCCTAGGCGAGGTACCTCTAGTTGTATCTACCAATTCAACTGATACTTTGTACCCAGTCATATAGGCCTTTGCTCTAGGAACCTAATTTTTCGTATGATAGAATAAAGCAGTTGTTAAAGCCATAAAAAGTTCTATATTGGACCACCTCATACAAACAGGCCACAAGGCTATCAAATAAATTACCAAGGCCTCTGGATACCAAACGCTGAAAACTGCAGAGGTCAAAGTAATTAGCCTAAAACACTCAAAGCCCTGTGTAGAAAACAAGCTGGTCCAACCACTGTTATAATCCTTGTCTGCAACCAACCCCACAAATTTATAAATTCCATGTTATTATTTATTTATTTGATTTTACTCCTTTACGTTCTCAGTGGAACATAGATTTTCAAGCTAGAGCTATGAAGTTTCGATACCAGTGGTTTTTATTTTTACGGGATGGTGGGCTTGCTAGTCCCATGCCCAACCTTTCCTCTTTACCAGTCTTATTACCGGCTTAGAGAATTGAAGGAGTGAGTCGGCAAGGGATCGAACCCCAAACCACATGAGGCATGGTTGGCGAGCATTCTACTGCTAAGCCACTGACACCCATAGCTTCTATGTTACTTCCTTTAGTTTACCTGATATTTAGTATGGTGTTATATCTTACTGAGGCTTTAAAAGTGTAATCTATCGATACTATTGATTTGATGTAATTTGAAATACTGTTGTTGGTAATAACAATATTTCTATATATATATATATAAATTTAGAACCTGATGAAGAATAGGTTATCGAAAAGAATGTTCTTTGCACATTAATCAGTCTTTTAAGTATTATTATCCTTCAACCGATGTCCAAGACTCTGGAAAATCCATCATCGTTACTGTCTACTTTGCATTAAGTAATACTGTGACAACAGAAGGCAAGACATGGAAACCAAGGTATATTTTTCAACTTATCAAGCCTCTGCTTATATATATACAGTTTATATTCTTCAAACAATCACTGAGCATGGGATTTCGGTTCACACCAAATGACATGAAATAGAATGTTCAAATATACGTAGTATTCTGTTGCTAATGCTGAAATGAACTGTTGAAATATGTGAGAATAATATTCCGTTGGCAGACATTGTCTGTACCACACCACCACATTATGAATGCTATTCTACAACGGTGTCTAAGTTCATCAGTGGCATTAACTAAGCGTAAACACCATATATTAGGAGAATATGGCAAATACTAAAACTGAACTGTGAGTCTTAGTATATTCAAGAGAGTATATAATGGAAAATAACTTGAGAATTTCGAACAAACTGGTTTCGCAGTTATTTCCATTTCAATGAATTATGAGACTGTCATTTGTGGAGAAGCTTTGGATACACGATTGTTCCTATATTCACCTTTTGTTGGTAGAGTTTTACTTCGAATCTGCTGATTTGTACAGGTGTGCGTCTCAAGCAAAAGAAATTCTTAAAATGGCTTTTTTGTAGGCGAATATCGCAAATCGGATGAAAACAGTCTTAAATGGTAATTTAGGAGGAATATAAATAAAGTGAAATTTAGATTTCAGGTTGCTCAGACCTAGTATTGACTTTCAGTAGGGCTCAAGGGCCCACATCATTTTTGAATATTATGCTGTGAGTCTCACAGAATGTGTGTTGGCGTGTTATTCCACCCATTTACTCAAGCGTAATGATGACTGGAAACCAATGAAGTAAATTTCAGTTTGACTTTTCCCACGGCAATTTAAACGTTTTACGCATTGCAGCTTCAGTTTTGTTTTGGATGCCGAGAAAGGTTTTAGCTGCAATCCTCTTATCCTCATTCACAGACTTTATATAGCGTGTATCTTCGTACACCCAAGATATTCTATGTCCTGCCTATGGTTAGTTATACCAAATAGTTGCTTTTTTAAAATTACTTTAATTCAAACATACAAAATTTTAAAAGTTGATAGGAAATGCTTCTTAAAAACTTATCAAAACAGACTATTTATCTCTCACCTTTTCAGATAAGCACCAAGTGCAGTGAATGGAGAAGGCGAAATACTACCCAAACAAGCCACAGCCAGGCAATAATGCAGTTTCACCAGATTACGTGGTAAGATTGAATTCAATGCTGATAAACGTGAAAGATTCTTCAGGTGAAGCCATAAACCCATTAAACCTGAAGTATAGAAGAAAAAAAGGTTGAAGGTTGAAGATGAGGCAGTAACTCATTGAAGAAGACATTGCGAAGTGGTCGCGATATGTCATGAATTGGTAGAAGTTGCAATTCATGGGTCATAGCGTAGGGTCCCAGTGGCTTAATGGTTTACGAGCTAGCTCACCTTGTAACCAGAAGGTCCTAGTGGGTGCGTGCTGCTGAAGATTCCTGAAACAGAATGAAACAGCCGTCCAGTACTCTGTGTTGGTTTTCCAGTAGTTCTCTAGCCGATGTCAGCTCATGATGGAATCCTCCAATCGACCAAACAAAATCCCTACAAAACCAATACTTGAAAAAAGTTAGACTAACAGAATGCATCGTGTGTTCAAAATACTTGCTTACTGAAGAGATTTAACAAAAACGAGTGATTAAATAAGGTTTCAGAGTGATGATTTAGCTCACTTGGCTACTCATCTGGAACTTGCCTAATTACCATAAGGAACGGTCTACTTGTCAGATTACTTTTTCCTTTTAGTTAATAAGACACTCAGTCAAATACCCTGTAATTGGTACTGCATCCTTTTCGACATCCTAGCTAAAAAAGACAACAACTAATCGCCCTTTTATCAGATTATGTTTCTATGTCAACAGTTTAGTAGTATTCATGTAACCGCTTAAAAAAGCGCTTCACTTGTTTGATCTCATTCCATCTTATGTTCTTAACCTATTTTTATTTTCTGTTCATTTAAACGATTATCAAAACCAATAGACTATTATTCCATCTTGTATTTGTACCTTAGTATAGTTTATGATGGCATCGGTGGCACAGTAGGTGGTTCGGGGTTCGATCCCCGACCAACACACTCCTCCTTTTCCTCGCTTAGCCAGTAGTAAGACTGGTAAGGAGGGAAGGTTAGGCTAGCAACCTCATCCTGTAAAAATAGTCACCCTTGTGCTACAGAAACTTCAAGCCTCTATCTTGAAGCCCTATTTTCCACTGGGAACTTAAAGGAATAAAAAAACAGTTTATGATCCAATTTTAATTTCCTTTTATTGGTTGTTGTATGTTAATATTCATGGATTTGCAATTGTTGAGCTTGAAGAAGACGACACTGAAAACAGCAGTTCGCTCAAATTGTTCTTGTTCTAAATTTAATATAATTACTTCTAAGAGACTTCATAAGTTAATTAAAATATCCGTTCAGAATTTTCACTGCCCACTCAATACACGTTTTCATACCAATATTTCTTGAAGCTTAAATTTCCGCAGTAAGACGTATAAAAAGAAGAGGTGTTCAAGTCTGATCACGGATTCATATCAATTAGAGAACCACTGAAAATCAGCAGGGATTACTCCGTAGCTGTTTAGTCCTAGTTTGTGACTCATCGCCAGTGTTCGAGTCTAGGATCTTTTGGTAACAAGTCAAGCTCTTCGACCATTTAGTCGTCAGTTCATGAATTCTAACTTCTACTAATTTAGCGCGACCACCAGCCAGTGCCGTCGGAGAGTATTTGTCCTCACCCCCAACCAGATGCACCCCACCGGTTACGACTTCTCACCATAACTGCCGGCAACTTCATCCCGTAACCAGTCACTAGCAAGCGTCAGATTAACTCTCAAGAGATAATTTGCAGGGATTTAACTGGTTTCAAGTTAGATAAAGGCTATTCGGTTGTGTTTCGATGACTGAATGGTTTTCGAACTCACCTTGTATCGAGAAGTTCCTGGGATCGAATCCCGGTTAGTGCGTAATGCTAGATAGTCCCAATCTAGACTGCCGAAATAACTGTCCAGTTCTACCTGGTTTTCAGTGGTTCTCTAACTGATATCAGAACTTGAGCAAACTTGAAACCAGTCGAATCTCTAAGAACGAGCTCCTGAAAAGTAGTATTCAGCGAAAGGCTACTCTTTTGAGCGATATCATTCCCAGTCTTCGCAATCGCTTATGTAAATATTTATATAGTAAATTGTCATAGCAATAACAGAAGTGTTTCCAAAGTAGTGTCATTAAAATTGTGGGTTTTAGATAACAATTACGCAATATAGGAGGGATAAGCCATGTAGAAACTAGAATAAAAATCAACAAATAGATTGAGTGAGGTAACGTAATTGGGAAGATTGAGTAAAGCTTAACTAAAAAAGGGTCAGGTTAAAATCACTGTCATAAGGAGTAGAAAGAAGGAAAGTAGTTGGGGAATTATAATAAAATCTAAAAAATATTAGGATTAAACACATTTGTCACTATATGTTGAAAAAAAATATTTCCTGCAATTAGCATGGTGATAAGATTACCTCTTAAATCCAATCACCTACACTCGATGATTTCTCTCTTTCTGTCTCTCTTAACTAAGTGCCCTCAAGGAACATTCCCATCCTTACATCCCCTTTTTACCTGGATACCAAGAAGTCATTATTCAGAAACCAACATAATTTTGTGTCACGTTTTTTAATTCATTTATAAACAAATAATCAGACTATTCACTAGCGTCTTATGAACATGGACATAATCTGTAACTTAGTAGCGCTGTCATCGTGCTAATTAGTTCACTTAATCAAGGCCACGTCAAGCAAGAAGAGAATAAAAGATACTCTGGATATGAAACGCAGCGTGGAACAAGTTGGATTCGGGAAAAGCAAGTCATGTATTGATCAAATTTTAATGCTACCCATTAACATCGAATGAAGCGTAGAATGGCAGTCAAATATTTTCCCGAACTTCATTGATTTTGGAAAGGCTTTCGGAAGCTTTGACTGTTAAGTATTTTGGAAACTACTTCAACACTACGACGTGCAGTTCTCAAATCTTCATCAACCTCATTCAACAGCTATATGAAAATGCCGGGTGTCAGGTGATCCACATCGGAAAACTCAGCGGAGCCTTTAAAGTGAAGACTGAGTGGAGTAAGACAAGGTTACCCACTACCACACAAGATGACATTGCTGGTTGTGGTGGACCGAATCATGTAGCAAACTGTGGAGAGTCAGAAGACATGAATACTTTGAACCAATAAGAAGACTCTAGAAGACCTGAAGTTTACAGAAGACGTAAGTTTAATTTCATATGAACTCGAACACTTTTAGGCGAAAACCAACAAACTGCGAGAAGAGGGAGACAGAGAGGATAGGACTTCAAGTGAACATAGAGAAGACGGAGGTGATGAAGATAACCAACCAACAGCAACAACAAAAACCAGCATCAATGACTATCAACAGAATAAACTTGAAAGACGTCGCTTCCTTCACTTATCTAAGCAGCATTCTTCCAACTTTGGACACACGTTGAGGAGATCGTTGTGTGACACTGCAATCCAGGCCATCATTGGAATAGAATCCGGGTGAGGAGCGGCGAGATGGGGATCCAGGGGTGATATGCAGTATATTGTGTGGAGAGGTGATGAGACCTCACGGAAAATCATGGGGTCAGCTAAAGAGGATGGTAAAGGACAAGACGAAGTGGAGATGTGCTGCTGAGGCCCTATTTTCTACTCGAAAGCTAAGGCGATAATGACAACATAATTAATTAAATCACATAATCGGCATTTAATTCCTCTTAATTGAATTTTGGGCTTTAAAAACCTATGTACACATTCTCAAGAGAATTTCGTACTTAATAAATTTTAGTATTGTTTAAAGTTTTCCAAGAAACATTATATGTGCAAGTTGGTAATGCTTTCCCATTTGCTCTGCATCTAATCATCCTGTAGAAACAAAAATCCAGTGGATAGCATTATTTTGTTACTAGTTTTTCTTGTTTTGTTTTTTATTTTCGGTAAGAAAAACCGATTTTGGTTGTAAGAGTCAATGATTCGAATGAGAATAGAAACGGCTTTCCTCATGTTTTCGGTCTCATAAATTTTGTAAGGTAGAGGTGGGTTATCGGCCCGATTCTCAGATGATTGTTGCATGATTATTTGAATGAACTCAAAAGTTTTTTAAAATAAGAGTGATTCTAGAGAAAAAAGTGGTTTCAATAAATCCGCTTTCAAACAAAAGATTTACGCTTATAGGTTTCCAGGCCGTAGGTGATACGAACTTCCTGGAATAATTTGAGCACCGAGTCAGATTGATTCATTATAAATAATTTAATTTAATCCCAGCGTATTAAGAAAATCAAAATCAAAGATTTTTCTGAAAGTTTCGCTGTATAGCCCACAGCTTCTTCAGCAGATTAATGATTAATAAAAATCCGAATAAATCTGCTGAAGAAGCTGTGGCTTACACAGCGAAACGTTCCAAAAAGTCTTGTTTTGATTTTCTTAACACGCTGGGATTAAATTAAATACTTTATAAAGAAAAGATTTACGCATTCATAAATAATAGGGAACACACTTGAGAAGTCGTAACTAGTGTGGTCGAGCAAGTCTGGTTGGGGAACAGTTACTCACGAATGACATATATATATATATATGAATTGGCAGAAGTTAGAATTTATGGGCAACTGAGTTGGGTTCCAGTGTCTGAAAGGCCTACTCTCAGTATTCCAGTGGTTCTCCAATTCACATCAGCTCGTTTTCAAAACCTGTAATACACATTTCATTGTTCTAAATATCAGTGCGTCATACGGGAAATGAAGATCAAATTAATTAATATAAAATATCTGAAGATGGGTTATGTTCACTCTGATGAACATTTACATTTGTCTCTTAAATCTGTAGTAAATATCTGTGATGTAGTGAAAAAAAGAATAGGGTAACGAATCCAATATATATATAGATCACAGCGAACGAAGCAGATGTATGCTTTTAATTTCTGAGTATGTAGATTCACCTGAGCACACTAACTATTATTTCTTCAGTTACTGAGCCTTATTAGTTAATTCTTTCGAAAGATTTATAGTCAAAAAGGTAAATCACCGAAAACGTCTGCTCAGATGTCTGCTTTATTCACTACCGTTCATTTGCCTGACCACAACGCTGCTTGATTACGGGATCTTAATAATCAAAGATTTCTGAGTATGGCCTATTCATAATTAGATCTACAGGTGTAGCTGAAATCATAGATACACAGTAGGGAGACTATCATGGGTAACTTAGACCTGATTTCGCTAACAAAACAACAATTGTTCATTTGAATGATATTTTATTCAATTACTGCTTACCTAATAGATGAATTAACGAACAACTAAAATAAGACATTTGTGCGTTGAAGTTTCTGTAGCAATTTGGTTAAGTTTTGGGAGTGGAGTTGATAGCACCACGCCCCAACCCTCCCTCTTTATCCTGGCTTGGGACAGGCTAGAAAACTAGTGAGCTAGTAATCATCAACCTGAAACTAATCTGGAAATCTTCGTCACTCAGCCTGCATCAACAACAAAATTCGGATTTTCAATATAAACGTCAAGTCAGTCAGTTCTTCTATACGGATTAGAAACTTGGTGGGTCACAAAGAATATTTCCAACAGCCTGTTGCAGAACTTTATGAACAACAACTGTCTTCGCTCTGTACTGAAGATCAGATGGCCGTAAAGAATCACCAACAAGAAACTATGCGAAGAAACAAAACAAGAACCAATCGCTCAAAAAATATGCAGGAGAAAGTGGAGATGGATTGGACACTCTCTGAGGAGGCCACTGGGTGACATCGCACGTCAGGCCATAGCTCGAGTGGAACCGAAAAGTGAAGTGGCGAGTGGGACGTCGAAGGGTGACATGGAGGAGATCGTGTGAAGAGGGACTGAAACAGTATGGACTAACATGGATGCAGGTGAAAAGTACAGCAGAAGACAGAAGCAAGTGGAGACGTACAGTTGAAGCCCTATGTTCTACTACGAACCCAAGGGAACAGTAATAATAATAAATAATATTAAAATAAGATAACTTACCAGCACAGATGAAAGCTGTAGCGATAGCATATTGGTAGACATCAGTTTGCTCAGCGTTATGCTTCTGAAACATAGTCATTTCTTATGCTTGATGCCGATGATGGTTATGACGATGATGATGATAATGCAAAGCTTAAGTCTAATTGACGAGTTTTTAGTTCGTTTTACAATCCGTCTATCAGTATAGTTTGATTAAATTTTTGGGATATTTCATTGTATCACAAACCGCCAAATTTGATTGGTTCAAATGTATCAAGGTGAGAAGGGGATAGAAAGATAAGCGTTTATCATAAAATGAGTTGAAGAGCCAATGCAGAAAGTAATGAGTATATCAAATGTGAAATTGATTAGTTGAAACAAAGAAATTATGCTTACTTAATTGGGTGAATTAAGGTCAAAGGTTGCTTAAAGAGAATTGACCAGTTTCATTCTTATGAGGCAAAATGTTACCTATGATACAGAGATATTTAGCTAAAAGCAGCCATTCATTTAGAGAAAAGTTTCCATCACAGCAGATCGTTTAAGCTGTTTACAGTAGAAAATATTAGATATAAGAAATCAGGCGACGGCAGTCCTCTCAACTAGATTTCATACTTGTTTGAAGTAGTCTGAAACCGTGAAGAGAGTCATATAAACTCAAAGGTTTCAATAGACATTACTAAGATTAGACGCCGATATCTTGGTTTCAGCTTATTCACATCATGAATAACTTACGATAGGATATAAAGAGGTGTCAGGCGTTAGTCTAAATGTGTAAATATTCAAATACTCTTCCAGTTAGAACCAAAACCTTCTAATTATTATTTATTATTATTGTATCCTTTAATTCCTACAGGAACATAGGGCTTCAGCCGTGCGTCTCCATTGCGTTCGGTTCTCTGCTAGAGTCTTCACCTGGCTCCAAGTCTGCCCACACGTTTTCATCTCCTCTTCACATGACCTCCTCCAAGTCAACCTTGCACTGACGACCAACTCGCCGCTTCCCTTTCGGGTTCCACTCGAGCAATGGCTTGTCTAGTGATGTCACTTGATGGTTTCCTCAGAGTAGGGCCAATCCACCTCCATTTCTTCCTGCATATTTGTTGCACAATCGGTTCCTGGTTGGTTCGCTCATCACCAGAGATCGATATTACTGATCTTCTCTGGCCGGCCATCTGATCTTGAGTATTGAGCGAAGACAACTGTTAATGAAGATCTGTAGTTTGTTTGAGATGCTCTTCATGACGCGCAGTGCAAGTCTCTGATCCGTGTAGTGAGTAGCACTGACTTCACATTGGAGTTGAAAATCCGGATCTTATTTCCATTTTCATGCTGAGTGCTGCTGACCTCCACACAGACTTGAGAGTAGTGAAAGCTTGTCTTGCTTTTCCGATTCTTGCTTTGATATCCGCGTCAGTTATGTCCACGTGTAGTTGAAACGATGCTTCCCAGGTGGGTAAAGGAGGTTGTTTCTTTCAGGTTCCTCCCATTTATGCTGGTTGTCTGTTGTTGTCGCTGTTGGTGGTGTTGCCCAGGAATCTTCATCACCTCTGTTTTCTCTATGTTCACCTGAAGTCCTATCTTTGATGCTTCTTCTGCTAACTTGTTGCTTTTCGCTTGCATATCTACCAGTTTGTGGGAAATCAGACATATATCATAGGCGAAGTACAGATCCTCCAAGTTTTTTGTGTGAGTCCATTTTATTCCTGTTTCCTCATTGCCCACTGTTTGTCGCATTATCCAGTCTACTGCAGTCAAGAAAATCATTGGCGATAGTAGGCAGCCAGCCTTGTCTTACTCCTGTCCTCACTTCGAAGGATTCCGTGAGCTTCCCGTTGTGGATTACTTGGCATGCAGCATTGTCGTATAGCTGTTGGATGAGATGTATTATTGTCGGTGGCACCCCATAGTAGCGAAGTAGTTTCCAAATCACCTCTCGATCGACGCTGTCAAAGGCCTTTTCAAAGTCGATGAAGTTGAGATAGAGAGGTGACTGCCATTCCAAACTTTGTTCAATGATGATCCGTAGTGTGGCGATCTGATCAATGCATGACTTGTTTCTCCTGAATCCAGCCTTTTCCAGTCGACGTTTTTCATCCAGGGCATGTTTGATTCTCTCCAGGATGATGCGGTTTGGTATTTTGCTTGGGATGGACAGGAGCATAATTCAGCGCCAGTTCTTGCATTGACTTAGGTCTCCTTTCTCTGGTAGTTTGAATAAGTATCCTTTCTTCCAATCCTCGGGAAGTTTCCCTTCTTTCCACACCTTCTCCAGTAGTGGCGTCATCAAGTCCGCTGTTGTCTCTGGGTTCATTTTCAGTGCTTCTGCTGGGATTCCATCTGGTCCTGCTGCTTTTCCAGCATCTTGATTGCCTTCAGGACTTCTGATTTCGTCGAGGGGTTGGTGTTCACTGGTAGCTCTATCTCCGTTTTTGGTATTGTTGGGTGCGTTGTAGGTGGTGGTCGATTTAGGAGTCTTTTGAAGTGTTCAGCCCAGTGTTTCCTTTGCTCCACTTCTTTGTTGAGTGACTTTCCATTGTCATCCTTCACCGGCTTGATTTGTGTCAAACGTTTGCCCGATAGGTACCTAGTAGTTTGGTAGAGTGTTGCGAGGTCTCCTTTGTCTGCCGCTTGTTCTGATTCACTTTCCATGGTTTCATAATACTTTCTTTTGTCTTCCCTGACACTCTTCTTTACCCTTTTGTTTAGTGTCTTGTAGTTTGCATTCAAATCCTGTTTTTGTTGCTCATCGGTGCACTGGAGAATCTTTTGTTTCACCATCCCTCTCTCTTCTATTAGTTTCCAAGTGTCCGTAGTGAGCCATTGTTTGTCCTGTCTCTTCTTTCTGCCTAGAACTTCCATGCGTGTTTGACTTTACACTGTCTTCAAGTTGTTCCAGTGCTTTACGACGCTGACCTCTTCGCCGGTGTTGATTTGTGTCTCGGCTTTATCTTTTATACTTGCAGTGAAGATGTCCTTTGTGTCCTGGTCCTTCAGTTTTTGAGTGTTGAACTTGGCTTGTGGTCTATCTGCAGCTCCTGATTCTCTGAAAGCTTTTAATTTGATTTGGATTGTCCCTTGTACGAGATAGTGGTCTGAACCAACGTCTGCTCCTCTTCTTTCTTTTGTGCCCAGTAGGCTGCGCCTCCACTTCCTTGAGATTGAGATGAAGTCGATTTGGTTTTTGGTTCGCCCATCTGGTGACACCCATGTAGCCTTGTGGATATCCTTGTGTTTGTATACGCTGCCACCAATCACTAGTTCATTGAAGGCGCAGAAGTTGGCGAAGAGTTCTCCGTTTTCATTCATCTCTCCGAGAGCTTCTCTACCCATGATGAGTTCCCTTCCTGTGTTATCTGATCCCAGTTTGGCGTTCATGTCTCCCATTAGTATTTTGATGTCACCAGCTGGAGTATTGTCCACTGTTGCCTGTAGTTGTTTGTAGAATTCTTCTTTCGTTTCGAGGTCTGCGTTGTTTGTCGGTGCATAGCATTGTATAATTGAGGCGTGAGGCTAGCAACCCTACCCTGTAAACAAACCTGCTACAGAAACTTCAGCACGATGTATCTCCTTGAGACAAAACCTTCTAATGACCGACTATAAAGAGTGACTTAAGAATAGACCCCTACAGCGAGTCTCCTAGACTCGTGACCATATTGTCAGTTGACCGATAGTACTCATTTGACACCAACACTGTTGACCAGACATATAACAACGGCCAATGGTCAGTTACGGATAAGAATAGCTCAGTGGTAACGTCTTTGTTTGTACCACTGATTGACATGAGCTCCAGTCCCACTCAGTCTAATTGACCGTGAAATCCTAAGGTCGTGAATCACGAATTTGGTTGCATTGTACTACCAGTTCACAAAAATAGCTAGCCAGACGTCGGATGGATTGACCTGAATCCAGCCATACTGGATATTCCACTGAAGACCTCTGCATCAAACAAGCGAAACTGACATTCTGTGTTTAGGTAACTTTCATCTGGCTGGCAGGCAGGCACGTTTGAATTTTTGAGTCACAATTGTTCAGGTTATACTTTTGTTTCTGTCAGAACGAAGTCTGTCCGCATTCACATTTCGTTCTGATTGATTTATCATTGTTGAGTCAATCAATAATAAGTGTTAAAATGTACAACCCTTACTAGAATGATCTGTTATCTCTATTATTACACTGTCAAGTGTACTAGTAATACGATATAATACTACTAGTTTCCAATTTCAGTTTTGATTTTCCCATCAGTTGATTCGAACAAAATGCTTGGCCTATGTTGACGTATCAGATCCCAGATGGCGGATGCTTCAACGATGTTTGAGGAATAACTTTAAGTAATTTGATTGATGGAGACTAGCAGTGGAAGGCAGGATGAGCATTTCTTCCTGTCCGCGACTCCTCAGCCATAAGGTGTAACTACATTCTGCAGTGAGTGATGATGTTCCCACTGAGCTTGGAGTCCAGCACCCATCGTTTCAAATGCTGGACAGTCCCAAATAAGTGGAAATGCATGTTATCCTGGTTTCCACTGCTAGTCACCACCCAACAAATTACCATAAGCCCTCTAGGTTGAACAAAAAGCTCCAACTCCAAAAGGTGAATTTACTTTTGGTAAATTTTATCTCAAATAAATTAGTTCACCTATTTATAAATTTAAATTTGTGTACTTAAATTCAAGAGGTCAAATGTAACAAGAATAAAGTAGACAGATGAAGTAATTCTGAAAAATTTTAAATATCTAAATTTAATTCCACTAACTTTGAATTTATTTTTAAATTGTATTCAGTTTGTGGTACATAGCTTCACACCCGATCTGTGAATAACATAGAATAAGAGAAATGATTTAGAATATACCCATAAATTAATAAACAACATATTTGAAGACATGAAATTCACAAGAGAAGAAGAATTAGATAACAAAGTCCCATCTTTAGATGTCTTAATCAGCAGAACCAACACAGGAGATTTAGAAACACAAGTATATAGAAAATCAACGCATACAGATCAAATACTCAACTATACTATCAATAATCCAGTTATTCACAAACGAAACTGTGCGCAGACATTGTTTAAAAGAGTTCAAACACAACGCTACAGGACTACTCCAGAGTTGAAAAGAATGGAAGAAAAATACCTAGAAACGGTCTTCAAAAAGAATGGTTATCCACAAAATTTCGTCAAAAAGTGTTTAAAGTCGAATCAAAACACCAACAAAGAACCATCAT